ATTTTAAAATTAATATTTATCTATTCTGTCCACCTTTGTCAATTACCATTTCATTCTTTTTTAAACATGATCTTTAGAAAAACTTATCATTGCTTCATGGAAAAGAATTCAACAATTTACTATCCAATATTAATACTAAAATGGTGACTACCTGGTACATCATTACTGGTTAACTACTTATCTCCGGTGTGCAGAGAAATCACGTCAATTTTAAGTAATAGAGCAATTATTAAAAAACTATGTTTGTCATTAATAAAAGTTAGAATGTTGCCAGTAACTACCTGTTATGGTAGCTAGTTTTTAGATTTACAATAGAGTTTAACCATAGAGGTTAAAATCCACTTCTCTGTGGTTGTGAAAGGGCATCACTAGATTCACAAACAGCACTAGACTTCCTTTTCAAATTTCTGTTTTTAGAATGTACACTGTGCACAAAGTTAGATAATTTAACAATGCAAAATTTATGTTATTTATTATAATTAAAATCAGATATAATCTTGTTAATGCTTGTTTTTACCAGTCTTTGCTTCTAAGACTGTTTTGATTGTTAATTTGGAAATTATTTCAAGGAACTGAAATGAAACACTTTGGAGAATAAAATGCCTAACCTAATCACATTTCTTAAAATAAATTATGCAAGTGTGCATGAGTCTGCACACACATCCGTGTTGCTCACATTATTAAATTACCGAGCTTCTTTTTAAAATCTCTTTAGAGCTAAGTGAAAGAAAAGCAGAAAGCCTGTTTTCCATTGCTTTTACAGGGACTGTAATTTAATTTGCAAAGAAGAGGAAAGTCTGTATTAATACAAAGCATGAAATTACTGTCCTATTCTCAAAATAAAATCTATTACTTGGAAAACTGGCTTTTAAAATTATTTTAAAATTCCAAGTTATGTAAATTGAAATCTTAGGTAGAAATATTTTACTACAGAGGAACATTATGGAGCAGAAAAGCAAAATAAGAATGTGTAGTGTGATGAACAGAAGACGTAAGTTTTTAAAAGGTGGGTGCCATGTGGGCCAGGTGGGTGTTCTTCAATTTAAATCAGAAAATTTAAAGGAAAAAAAACTAAATAAAAAAGATTTACCATTAAAGTACGACTCAATTACTTTGAGCAGCTAAGCTTATGTTAAACATCACAGGTAGTCAGGCTTTTCAAAAACTATTGATTTTTGAAATTGATAGCAGTAATCTGGCAAGTATATGACATGTGAAGTATCTTCTCACCTACACATAGTGACTACTTAAATTGGATGTAAACAGTTATACCACTATACTTCCAAGAATGAAACCTATTGAGGTGGTTACTATTATTTCTATCTATATATTGTATCTGCTGATGTTTCTACATCTTTCAGGTTTTGACCTTATCCTAGGACATGCTAATTTGGTGAATTTGTTCCTGGAAATTGGTAATTTGTGGCTTTTGTTGACAGCCTGCCTGATCCAGGAATGTGGCTACTAAATGAACAAACACACAGGATAGGACACTAGTCATGGATATTCTAGTCCAGACTAGGCACACTAGATATACTTGTTAATAATAATTTCCAGACCCAAAGAACTTTCTATTAAACAAGCAGCAAACTAGTATTATTTTTCAAATAAGGACCTGAAGATCTTAAAGATATTGTTCAAAATAAACATTAAGCTTGAGGTAGTGTGTGAAAGAGAATCCAAATATCCATTCTCCAGTCCACTGCCACAGTATTTATTTCTTAGCCACCTTTTTTGGCTTCCTGACAGTGAGATTCACAAGCTTGTAAAACTGAAAGGACAAGTTAGCAGAATCTAAGGCTTAGTTGGCAATGTACTCTTGAACTGCCAGGGCCTGAACCACAGGCCCAAGTCAAGACTGACTTCCAGCTGAATACAGCTCTGCTTTAGTAGAAGTACACAGAACTTGCCTGTAAATTGCACGTAGGCTCATAAAACTGTAACTTTTGTGGGCTCTCAGGCAAGTTTTTTTGACCTTGGAGGGAACTTGCCCATTCGAAGCTGGGGCTCTGGCCAGGTCCCAGTCCTGGATGATAAGGAAAGTGGGTCATACCAGATTTACTGCTAACAAAGAAAATGCAAGTTTTGCTGATTTGGTTTTATAAAAGCTGGACCCTATTGCAGCAACTTTGGAGACCTCACTTATGGGTGGACACACCACGTAAGACCTTCCAATTGCCGGGAGGGTTCTCCAAATCCTCACCGCAGCAGGGGCTCCCCACCAACAGCGGATCTGGATGATGGTAATGAATTTAGGCAATTGGTCATGTATCTTTTTCTTAATAACTATTCTCTTTCTCATATAGTAATGGTCAGCGCGTTACTTTGCTTATTTGTCCGTAGTTAAAGCCTGGCGCATAGTAAACTTATTGTTTCATTAAATGTATCATTTCATTTCTGTAGTATTTTATATTAACAGTAAACATGACTGTTTTTTCCCTCGGTGTCTGGTTATTTTGCATTGGCAAAACAACTCTACAGTTAGATTACCAAAGTCCTGATTCAGAAAACCCTAACATTTGAGTAATTTACACTTTTCTCAGCCAGCTGTGTGCAGGAAGTTAATAATCTGTACGCCCTTCTTAGAGACATCTTAATTTCCCTCGGTAGCTAAATGAAGCTGAAACCCATCCAGCACAGCATGCATCTGGGACAGTATGATTAGATTTGGAGGGTATCACAGACAAAAATTTATGCCTACATTCAGGGGACTTCTTACCTCTCTACCATACACCTCCCTACAATTTGCTAGGAGCTCTCTATCTAGGCCACTATTTTTTTTTTTTTTTTTAGCTACATGTCTGTTCTTAACATCCTTGTGAATAAACAAAGAATTGCCATAGATAAGCTCGGTGTAGTCTTTTGACTTTGACTTTTGAGAAAATCCCACTGAGTCTTTTCTCTGACTATTGTAGACATCAAATGTTTTCTGATGCTTTTAGGAGCACATCACATCTCCTTGACTTCTCTTACCTGCTCTTACCTTCTCTTACCCTGAAGAAAATTAAATCCATGTTTCTCTTAGAAGTCAGTAGGGCAATATTAAAAAAAAATTGAAAGACCTACATTTTTGTATAGCAAGAAAATTTACATTTATGAGATATACATCTTTCAAATATATATTAATTTAGATGAATGTACTTGTGTACACACACAAGCACACCTGCCCGAGTACATGTTGAAGTCTTGTTGAAGTCCAAGACTTAACCAAATGATCTTCCTCTAGGAAAGTGCAGTCCACCTCTCTGGTAGGAGATATTTTACTATTGTTTATTTAGGCATAAATAGCAAATTCCTCTTTATACAATTTATAAGTATTGCTTATTGCAAGTGCTCACAACCTTGTGCAACTTCAGGATATATATAAATCTAAAGAAATTTAGTATGTTAGTATCTTCCCTCTGCAAGAGAATAATCAAAATATTTATTATACACTCAGTAGCTGATTTTATCTCCAATTACTAGTTTACACAGGGATGAAAAGTGCTTGAATATCTATCCATGGCCAGATGATATGAACCAGGCTGCCACCAGTTTGAAGACAGAAAATACAATGAACATTCAGAAGTATTCTATAAGATGTGGGTATGTATAGTTTTTGGCATTTTGCCACATTGAGTTATACTGTGTCAGGTAAGGAAGGGCAAATTTTAGTTTTTAATAAGCTGTTATTCAATATGGAAGGTCTGTTGGATATTACCTGACACTACATCATCAGACTGCTTGAGCAGATTTTTGGGGAAAAAAAATGTGGAGGGGAAAGGATTTACACCCATCTGTATTGTGAAATAAAGAGGAAGAATACAGATACTTAGCAATTTCTCTCCTAGCCTCATGAGAGCTAAGAAAACCCTGGCAGACTGATGATGTCCCTACTGGTCATTCACTCTAGAAGTCATTTCTAATTGTATAGGAAAACTATCTTACTGGGAACATTTAAGCACTCTAGACGAGATATTAAATCAAGTATTACAGGTTAATGATAAGGTGGTGGAAGTCTTGGTTATGCTCCAGGCACTGTCAGAAAGCTGGCTGGCTGAAAGCAATTCTTCTGTATTTGACAGATATGCTCATTATGCATATTATTATTATGCTGCTCATTTCAGTGAAACAAACACATTCATAAGTCTATTTTCTCCCCACTGACACTTACAGAGATCATGCAGGTATGAAAGTATGATCTATCTCTTTCCTACCTCACACTTCATCAAAAGAACGATTACATTTCAAGCTGTTGCCTTGCTTTGCAGGGAGGAAAGCTTTTGCTTTTGTGGGTCAGAACTAGTTGAACTGTAAATGACAACTCAGTTCATTCATCATTACTAAGCATGCAAAAAAACCCAGCTTTATTTGCAGATCACAGGGTAGTACAGGTGACAGAAGGCCACATTCTTATTCAGAGAGCCTTGAAATAACAGCATAGCAAACAGAATAATCACTGCATGTAGTAATACAGTTACATAGAGATGGTGAATGATATTTACTCTCAGAACTGCTACATATCCATAATCACTGAAAGGAATTATTGGACAATCTATTATCACAAATTAGACTTATATGCAAAGGTCTGAGAGGTTTCCATTGACATGCATGAGAAGTCCTATATCTTCAGATGAAGTCAGAGAAATAAAAAAAAAGCAGGATCATTTAGGAGCAAGTCAATGCCATTTGGAAATCCTATTTTGTAAAATTTAAGGAATCAAACTTAGGTTCTGTCTCCAATTAGAAAATTCAAAAGAGCAGAAACTGTATCTTACCCATAAGATTTAAACATTTTTTTAAATCTCAGGCAGGTTGAGAGCAGAGTTAAATAGTTCTTTAAGACAATTTATCTACATACGATACTGAAAGGAGAACAAAGAGGATGCAAAAATGGCCTTCTTATTTGTTTCAAACCAACAAAGACATTGTCACTGAAAAAGTAATGTGTAAAGTTCACTGAAACAAAAAAGAGCTACAAAAAAAAAAAAAAAAAAAAAAGAAAAGGCAAATAATCTTACCAGTAGAGTTGATGGGCCACTTGGATGCTCTGAAGAGAGCGATTCAGTAAGAGTTTCACCAGGGGGCTTTCAAGACTCCATTCAAATTTGAGCACCTTAACAGATAAATTAATAACAAGAATCACTTAGGTGTTCATTCTGTTGTCTTTCCTTTATTTAAAAAAAAAAAAAAAAAAAGCTTAAATAGAAAGAACATTATCTTTATGTGGTTAGTTTGAATTAAATAATCCATCATACAGAAAATGCCCTAGAAATGCAATGAGTAAAGAAACTTCAGGCATAGGTATTTGCCATCATTTGGCCTGGGATCATCAGGATTTGGTCTGTGATAATATATATGCAAATATGCAAGCCTCCATCCTTCTCTTTGTTGAAAAGTAAAATGCTATATTTAGTGTTTGACCTGATTACCTGGTTCAAAATAAACCCCATCTGAAAACTGACTTGTGAAACAGAAGTCGTGAAAAGACCCTACAAGTTTCCTAAGGTGCTGCACACTATAAATGTGTGAGAATTTCACTACTTCACAGTAATAGATTACAAAAATATCTGTATATGAATAAATATATAAGGATTTGTACATGTGTACATGTAAATATATGCACATGAATGTGTGTATGTGTGTATACATATATATATGTATATAAAAACCACAAAGGAATCTGAGGAGCTCTGAAATACTGTAAACAATGTATATATTATATACAGTGTGACACAGTAAGGACATAAAGTCTTTAAGTCAGCTGGATGCTTCTTAACTACAAAACAGAACCTATTCAACCACAAAGCAATTGCTTTCAAAGCACTTGGGCTCATAACCTGTAAAATGTTCATTTCCAGTGAAAAGCAATGTACATCTCTAAAGAGACTGTTCTACACCTAAATTGCTTGGTTACTATGCACTGACAATGATTTTTCCTGTAACTGCAGTATTTGTACTTAGCCATCAAGAAAACTGATTCATTACAACACCCTTTGCTGCTTTGACTGAAAGGAAATCCTGACACCACTAGCCCCTAGTCTAATGCTCATAGCAGCATTTCTCTTGTTCAGATGCATGTTTTTTTTCCTCTTTTTTTTTTTTTCTGAGAAACAGCTTCTTGCTGTCTACAGAAAAATTCACTCAGCATCCTGAACCATGTCTCTAGAGCAATCTCTTGCTCTATCCTGTTGTTAATTCAATCACTGCATCAGCTGATTAGTCTTTTTTTTTTGTTTATTCTTCTTATAATGTATCAAACTAAAACAATCTGAAATGTTTAATGAAGTTATTGATCTGGACAGAAGACTTCCTTGGCTACAAACTTCTTTCTTACCTGAACCAGCTGTGGGAGGTATTCTAACAATTCATCATTTGACAGATTATCTATTTGTTGGACTGCTGTTCTGCGAATATCTTGATCTGGAAAACTAGAGCAAAACAAACAGATATCATTAAGAGCTACTGAACTACTGCTGATGCACTGCAACTCTCCAGAGCTCTCACTGATACAAAACACTAGAAAAACAAGTTTGCTCTCAAAATGGAATAGGAAAAAAGTAATTCACTTGCTTTACTGTAACAAGAGCACATAATCAGATTGACTGTTACCAGGCCATACAAGGAAAAACAACCCACAACACTGATCCTCAGATTTTTTTTTTTCACCTTGAGCCACCATATATTGTAATTTCCTTTATTTTTATTGAAGCATGAAGCATATTAGGGACCTTCCTTTGCGGCTCTTATTTAGTTTAAATGAGAAATTTCTGTGCCATGGCGACTCTTTCCTTTTTTTGTTGTTGTTTTTTTTTTTTTTTTCTGTGAATCTGTGACTCTTAACAGACACTTGAAGACTTCTTTTGTTCTGACCTCCAACACAAAAGCTTGAAATTTCCCACAGAAAGGATTTGTTTCAGATAATTCACTCCAGTGTCAACTCTTCTGGTTCATATTATAAGACAATGAAATAATTTAAGCAGAAGTAAATTTGAAACAAAAAAAATCATTTTAATTTTCCTAAAGCAAATTTTTGTAAAGAATTGACTCATTTATACAGAAAATTTTCATGTCAGTGAAACAGCCTTTTATGATGTAAACATGTTCAATGAATATTTGGGATAACAAATACTGGCTGGAACCAGAGTAGATGTGGGCTGACTATAGACTTTGCCATGGAGCTCTAGAAGTAATGCCGATGAAAGATGAAGTAGCAGCCAAGATAAAAGAGGGAAAATAGGCTGGATAATAGAGGTAGTCAAAATATTTTTAAGAAAGAAAAGGAATGCAGTCTAAGTGTAACCTGGCTGCCTGATCAAAACTAACTCTTAAAGCAAGTTTCTTTTCAGAAGCCAACATTTAAAGTATCTCCCAACTTTTTAGAGCTGAAAATGGTCTTTTAAGGATTTCTTTTGAAAAAAATAAAATTAAAAAAAAAAGATTTCCACTGTGCTGTAGCTGTGAGATTATTAATGATATCTACAGAACTTCACATACAAACAAGTCAACAAAATTGCTTTCCAGATGGCCGTTTTGCCACCTTCCCAGGACAAGACCTGCCCCACACAAAACAGTGAACCTTGCCACTTCAGAACTGATTGGGCTGTAGAGTCTTTTGAAAATCTGCATTTTCTATTTTGGCAGTGTAAGTGTGTATACAAGATGAAGTGTAAAGACTACAAATTTCACTGTCAATGTGGCCTAATGGAAAACCTTTTGAAATGAGAGCTGTGCTATACAACAGAAGGCATCATGGGGCTACCAGTACTACTGCTATTTGTGCTCAAAAAGTGGACTGCTCTGTTCCAGGCTTTCCAGGCAGCACCTTCTGCCAACAACATATCCACTCGAAAAATAAATCAGAAATGAAATACAAGAGACACTATCACATTGGCAGCAATTATTGCTAATTGCTATCAACAGAAGGAGAGAAAATTGTAAAGGTGAATGTTCAGAAAGACAATGGCACTTTTAAATTTAATAAAGTGAAGCAAAACAATATGCACCTCCAAATATGTTTTGATCATCAAATGAACTGCAGGCCACATAATAAAATCATGTGCATTCAGAAAACAGTGGTTGTTAGTTTTACCTACTAGTAAGGTCTGGCTTCTATTACACACTCATCTGCCACTTGTAGCACTTTCAAACTCCCCTCTAACAATACAGCTTGGCTCACATTTTAATATTTTGTTTTTCAGTTATGACACATATTTGATGATGTTTTTAATAAAGTCTATAATTGTCTAATGATGAGAGGGTCTTGATGGGGAGGGAGGGAATACTTTATATATTTTTTTAATAAAAAAAGTTATTTTAATCTCAAATTAGCCTATCTTGCAAGAGTTAATTTTTAATCCTTTTTAATTCAAGACAGCCTATTATAAGACATTGCTACTCTAATATTCACAGCCTATTGAGAACAAAACACATTTGAACAAAGATTGCATATTAAAAGAAAAAATACTTCCGTGTATGTCATTCTATCATCTAATTACGCAACTGTTCCACAAAGCTAGTCTGCCAAGACTGCAGATAATATGAAAATTAATCTTTCCCTTTCCCTTCTTGCCTGGTTCAACAGGTTACTGAAGAGTGAAATACGTTCTTTATAGGCACCAAGTCATGCAGAAAAATGTTATTACTTAGTTACTGCTTGTCCTTACTAGCAGCCAACGTTTGAATATATCCCGTGTTATGATGGAAGAAACTCCTGTATTTTTCCAGCTAAACAAAGAATGGAGAAGTTATTTTAATCTCAGCATTTCCACATAATCTAACATTTGATTTCTTTCAAATTCATTTGCAAAAGGGGACATATCCAAGTTATCTAAAGAGATGTAATTAGAATAATCATGAGCTCAAGAGCATAGGCACTGTAGTGGAAAATCTAGAGGTCAGTATGTTTCAGGAAACATGCCTCTTGTCACTGTACTCTTGAATAAGATTTGAGGTAATTTACTTCTGTTGGCTACTAAACTGTTTCCTTCGGCATTTGGATTTCAAGGTCAGCTTGCATTTGAGTTGAACCATTTTGAAGGAATGACATGTCCTCTTAACCACCTGGCAATTTGTTAAGCCTCAAATGTAATACTCATTGCTGTCTTGAATTTCAATGTTCTTCAGGGCTACAGAAACAAAATAAAAAAATATTTAATGCTATCTGGTTTATCCCATACATTTGTATTTAGGAATTTGAGCAACCCTACAAAGTCTTCAGAAACAGGTGAATTACAGTAATACTTAGAAATTTACACAGTATTTTATGATACTTGTGCTATTCATACTTACATTCATAAGCTTTATCTGCAAAAAGCCACTGGCATGGTAAGGTCCAGAAGCTGATCTGAATAAAAAACTCCAGCCTTCATGTTTCTGGAAACTCTTTTTTCTTGCGGTCTTCTAATCAATTAGGCCTAGAGGGGTTTTCCTACAAATAATCTGGCAAACTTTTGAGTGCTGTGTCAAATTTGATTTCAGTAGTTCATAAATTACTCCTGATTAGAGGACACAATTAATTGATTTTTTGGCTCAGTGACTGAACACAAGAAATTGCTTTAGGCCTAACAGAAGCTGCTTTGTAGCAAAGAGATTTGGGGACAGTTAAATTTCAGGGCTTGCTACAATGAATATGCAATGATTCCTACCTCCACTGCAGCAGACAGATAAGATCACTCTATCACCAACAGCCCTGTGCTCAGGCCACTGCCCTAGGAAGCCCAAGCTCATCAGATCAATTTTGGCAAGAAATTGAAACACTGACTACCATAGTCCTGACTAGCAGCTTGTTGCAGTGGCTTCTGAGGGGCAGGAGATTCAGCATCCTCCTCTCTCTTCATAGCTCTTTTATGATTGCCACCCAAATATCTTTGTGACTTTAGCTAGAAAAATAGCCTTAAAACAAAAACATGTTAACAATGCTCATGTGACTGTATATTTTTATTACTTGAAACTAATAATTAATTTTGACCAAGGTTTCCAAATACTTTTTAGTCACTTTTTTTTTTTTTTTAAATTTATTTGTTCTTTTCATGACAATGAACCTATTGGTCAATAAATCTTAAGTGAAAAGTATACTACCCAGTCACCAGGCTGACCATGCTGGGACATACTGCATCTTTCTTTTTTTTAAATTATTTTGTTTGTACTTCCTTCAGGTAACATCTACTCCACAATAAAGTTTGTGCCTTCTCAGATGTTTGTTCCATGCTTATACCCTCAGGGACATTATTGAAGAAAAAGCAATACATAAATTGTTGTGTCTAGTTCTTGGCAATAATTTAGACTACTGGAACTTCCAAATTTTCACTTCAGAGGTTGTCTTGCAACCTGAATTTCTCCATAAGAAGCTACAAAACTGATTCCCTTTGATATTTAACATAATCCCCCCCGCCCTTTTTTTTTGCCATTTTAAAATCACACTGCTTTATTCCCTTCTCCTTGCATAATGCAGATAACTGATAGCCCTCCATTTTATAGTTTCCCTCAAAGTAGACAGGTGTCTCTTGAGACTTCACGACAAATTTCTGACAAAGTTGAATTTAAAGCTGAATGAACATAAACTACAATTTGCTTTAGAAATAAGAATAACTTGCCATCTTTGATTCTTTTTATATAGATAGCCAGGAGGGAGCTGTTTGACTAGCTATATTTTTCAGCTAAATCAGACCCAAACAAAAAAGTTAATACCGCCATGGTGTCGTGTGGATTTGTGAAGTTCTCTAGAGATTTTGGCATCTAGCAAACAGCGACTTGATTATAAATGAGAAATAGATATGCATTTCATTTTTAACAGTGATATTATCCTAATTGTATTGCACAACCTCAAGTAGCTGGAGGATATTTGTCAGGTAAATGGAACATTACAATTCACTACATTTTTTAGCATCTGGGAGTCTCTGCACAGAACACCTTTTATGTGCCATCTTTTCTGCTAGAGGCTTGTGACGTGCCACACAATTCTGCAATTCCATTTACATTTTAAGTATGAACTTTAAATTTGGTTACACTCTTGCAAAAGGAAAGACTCTGGCCCCAAGAAATGTATTTCATCAGGTCTGTTGGAAACTGTGAAGGCAGAGGTAACAAATTGCTGCAATCAAGATTTAAAGCCCTCTAGCAGGTAAAGGATAGCATGCCACTGACAGCTGCAACTATGTTAGGAGAGAAAGCACAGAACAACAATTTAAAAAACCCACAAAACTAAGCTTTGAGTGACAGTTAAGTATTTAAAAAACAACTGGACTGTAAGAAGGAAGGTATTTAAAGAATGCCAGTTAGGGCACTAACTTAGTTTTAACGTTTTTTTTTTTTTACAGTTAGCACTAGTAAGGTTTCTTTCCTTATTTTTGTTGAATTTTTTTTCATCCCCTGAAGGCTTCTAAACTCACTATGTGAGTATGTTAAAACTAGAAAATGGTAAGAACTTTAA